CTCAGAATAGACTCGAGACTCGGCACATCAGATTCCTCATCGGGCTTGGGTCTTCTACTCTTTGCTTCAGATTCACCTCAAGAATAGAAAGATTCTTCCTTACAAGGGCAAAATAGGGGCATTGTTCTTGATTATGGGGAGGTTCTTCAGTAAGTAGCAGTCTTTGGTTCTGCATCGGGACGCCCTTTTGCCGACTGTCACAAAACAGCGAAAACCCTGAACCCTAGACTCTAGAGACCCCCGCAGCAGCGATCGCGTGACGAACAGCCCATAGAAGCCGCGAAAGGCTGCTCTGCATCCGTCCACCCATGCCCTAAACCCTAAACCCTAAACCCTAAACCCTGAACCCTGAACCCTAAACCCTAAACCCTGAACCCTAAACCCTAAACCCATGCACTGAAGTCCTCATCTTCCATCCGCGCACCAGCCTGGCCTCAAGGCTGCGGGCTCAAGTCTCTGCGAAGCGGCTCCGACAAAGCGATTGCAGCATCCACACGACTTGAAACGCACAATCTTCGGCGAGCAGGAGCCAGCACTCTAGCTGCTGGGGATCCCATTACCTCAACCCTAAGCTCCTTTGGAAATCTTTTGTGGGATCCTTTTTCGGGGATCTTGCTCTACAGGCTCTAAAGATGCCAACTCCGCTGGCTCTCCGCTGAGGTCTGGGCATCTCCGAACGGACAGGGCTCCGCAGAGTTCACGTGTAAAACCCTATGTTACTACGCGAAGGGAGCCTAACTATCACCAGTGCAGCTGCGTGAAGAGCAGGTGGGCTGGAGGCAGAGCTGCTGTTTGGTCGAGCATGCTGAAATGCCTGACTGCTGCTCTAGATAGCTCTAGCCACCAATTCGAGTTCCGGTTCTTGTTGTTGTGATATAAACCCTAAACCCTAAACCCTAAACCCTGAAACCCGAAACCCGAAAGCTTTGCAGAAACTCTTGCTTGAGCCTCGACAGGACATCCAGGAGCTCGAAGTCTTCACGTGGACACATTCTTCATATTTAGCTATTTTTTATGTTCACTTATTACGATATAATTTACAATCTAATATGATTGTAGTATTCATGTTGAGAGCCAAAGACGTTCGCAGTTCCCAGTTCTGGCTTCTGGGCGACATAGTTCGCAGTCGCAATCAAAGCCTCTCAAGCCCTCATACATTGAACCAACACCAAGGCAGACCGTCCCGCGACCCCCGAGCAACTCCCAGTTTGCCCAGCAATCCTTGCCATGGCCGTGACAGGCCTTCGTGCCAGGAGGGCACGAATCCAGCATCATCTGAGCAATTCCTGCCAGGGCCCACCCTAAAACCCTAAAACCCCAAAACCCTCAAACCCTAAAACCCCAAAACCCCAAAACCCCTAAACCCTAAAGCCCTAAAACCCTAAAACCCTAAAACCCTAAAACCCTAATCAAGCTCACACCTCCCAGCAGCGAGCCTACGTGGCCGAAGGCGATGGCATGCCAAAGCACAGAGTGCCCAGACGCATCTTTCTGTCTTCCTGAGTTTGTTTCGGGTTTAGGGTTTAAAGTTTAGGGTTTAGGGTTTAGGGTTTAGGCTTTAGGGTTTAGGGTTTAGGGTAGTTTGTTTCGCGACACTTCCGGCTTCGGATGAGACCAGGCGTCAGATGCCATCAGGTTGTCACGACTCGACTGGGAAGGCTGGGATAAGTGGGTTGACCTTGCGCACGCAGTCCCACGCAAAACTTGTATTGTTGTCAGGGTGCGGCTAACAGGCCCAGCTTAAGCGATGGTGGGATGTTGGAGGGGACAGGCGCAAAGACTCGGCATCCCTATTTTGCAACACAGTTCTGCTTCTACGGTGTCTTGCAGTTGTTCTTTGCCAGGCATTCAGATTGCTTAGTAGCAGCACCGATAAGCGCAGAACAACGTTGATCAATAAGCACTGCAAAGGGCCCTATCTCCACCAGTAAGCATTGTCGGCAGGGCGACTGCAGTTAGAACTGCTTCTCTTCCGACATGAACGGTTTCTATAACGTGAAGGTCGAGTGCTGTTGTAAATCTAACGATTTCTATAACATGAAGGTAGAGACTTGTTTTTGGTCACAAGAGAGTGTGTGTTAATTCTAAGCAAGTTTTTATACTGAGAACGAAAAAACACCAAGAGCCCGGCCATTGCAGTGGCCCTGCTGAATGAGCCGACTCACCGCGGCTTCGTTACCAACATGGACCTTGGTGCTTCGCTTTCTCTGGTTTAGGGTTTAGGGTTTAGGGTTTAGGGGTTAGGGGTTAGGGGTTAGGGGTTAGGGTTTAGGGTTTGGGGTTTAGGGGTTAGGGGTTAGGGGTTAGGGTTTGGGGTTTAGGGTTTAGGGTTTAGGGTTTAGGGTTTAGGGTTTAGGGTTTAGGGTTTACCTACAGAGTGCCCACGGTGCTTGTAGCCGAAGCCCCAATCCCCACAGAAGTTCTTGCCAAGAGCAATGTCTCACGAGCGACGCTTTCGACCAAGCAAGACACGCTTGACTTCCTGGCATCCCAACTTGCAAAGCTGCCGCAGAAGAAGCGCGCATTCATGGCGAAGAAGGGTGCTCTTCTACAATGACGGCTTGGGATGTTCCCCCTTGTACTAACAGTCCTTCATAGGGAGTCTGGTACCCCGATGAGAATCCCTATTGAGGACTGTTAGTATAAGGGAGAACATCCCAAATGACGGCGAAGCTGTCCACACCGCTGGGAGCTCTGGCCGAATGCCAAAGCTCTGGTGATCCCGCCGCACTGGCCTGGAACGGAAGATGAAGAGCTTCAGGTGAAGTGGGACCGTGATGCTGAGTTCACTTGACTGTGATGGTTCACATCAATGGCTTGCTGTGTTGGCTTGTCTAGGATTTATGCCCACTTCAAGTGTCTCCAGGAGGGAAATAGTGCAATGCTGGATGTTGCTTCAGCCCCCTGCCGAGCGCTGAATTTAGCGAGCTTCTGACTCGATATGATCTGAGCTGCCGAGCTCACAGCAACCGTTTCTGCAGCTGAGCCATACACGACCGCGGCGGGCATCGTCGATTGCTGGCCGTTGCTCATGACAGCATCCTGAGCCTCACGCGAAAAGAGAGAACAATCCGAACAGAACCCTACATCATTGTACGCTGGCGTATACTTCAATGCAGTGGTCCAACTTCAAAGAGAGTCATTGCAAGAAAATGCCAGAAAGGCCCGAGAACATGTTGTGAAATTGAGTGACGTGGACCTTGTCGACGCTGCGAGGCGCACTTGGCCATGCTTCTCGCTCCGGCGCCTGGGGTCAAGCCTAAACCCTAAACCCTAAACCCTAAACCCTAAAGTGACCACTGGGCTTAGCAAGTCATGGGAGAGCAGATGAGGGCAGCGCCTGGGGGTGTGAAGACAGCATATACTATACTTACGGCACATATCAACTGTTCTACAACTTCATGATTTACATTTTGTAGTATCTATGTAGTACGTCATCTTTGGGATTCCATGCATACATATACATATACATATCCATATACATATACATATACATATACATATACATATACATATACATATACATATACATATACATATACATATACATATACATATACATATACATATACATACGTGAGCTTCGAGCCTGCATCTGGCGCTGGCGGGTGAGTGCCTGCTCGACATCCAAACTCCACAAAAGAAGGCCACGTGTAAAGAAGGCCACGTGCAAAACATTGCGGAAGTGACTCGTCATATGGTTTCAACTATGCCTCAAGCAACACCCGAGTCTTTGTGGAAACGTTGAACTCGAAGTCAGGCGGAAGGCCCATACTCTGTAGCCACCCGGAAGTTGGCCCTTGGAACCCTCTGGAAAAGATTAAATCTGATCCTCCTAAAGCCCAGCAAGAGAAAGCAGATGAAATATCCCAAGGGCCCACCCAGCGAAACCCAACTGTCGCAACAACGAGTCGCCTCCCGCTGGCTTTCGATAAAGCTGCTCAGCCCAGGACCCGCAAAAGTCACCTCCTTCGATCATCCATTGGGGTTTAGGGCTTAGGGTTTAGGGTTTAGGGTTTAGGGTTTAGGGTATAGGGCTCAGGCCCACTAGGGCTTGGGTTTGGGGCTTAGGGTTTAGGGTTCTTAGCCAACGCGTTGCGCGTTGGCTAAGAGCTTGTGAGGCTGGATTCCTCTGCGCAGCTCGGTCGACACATTCTTCGTGGCCCAATACCTTTGAGTTAGGACTTTGACTTTGAGCCATCCTGACATCTGCAGGTAGATTCTTCGGTCAGGGCCTGCTTTGTCGAGCTGGAAGTGTTTCTGCAACTGTTCCTTGAGTCGAGGTCAAGGTGCAGCGCTCGGCAATGATGGTTCGAGGAGATCGGCTGAGTGTCTTTCACGGAGAACGAAGGGTCAGGGTTGATAGGGGAATCCCCATTCTCGCAAAACCGCTGGACTTTTGTACAATTTCCTGCAGGCTTCACGAACCATGACCCGGGTGAACGGATACCCCCTGCACACCCCAGCTTGACGGCCGGGAGCCTGACTATCTGCTTGAGGAAACTATGTCTTCGTGTTCAAGGTCGTGAGGGGCTGAAGAATGCCAGGCAAACTGGACATGAGCAAGTCCATCTACGAGCAGGCAGAGCCCCACCCCAAAGCCTGCCTGACCCTAAACCCTAAACCCTAAACCCCAAACCCTTAACCCTGAACCCTAAATGGGCACTGATGGCGATTGCAAGATCCACGGGCCTCTTCAAGGCGTACCGCCTTGGCACGGACTGCGCCTGCGGGAAGAACCCAACACGGCACACCAGATGATGGGATCTACCTACTCGTTCTCAGAAGGGCATTAGGGAAGAAAGGGTTATATACGAGGTTCCTCATTCCCTATGCAAGCTCATAGCTCATCAGTGCCTGGACGTGGGGGGGGGTGGGGAGGGGGCTTCACTCTCAAGTCAAGGAGTCAATTCACCTAAACCCTAAACCCTAAACCCTAAACCCATTTACTTTTTTCGGCTCGGCTCGTCGCTGTGCGCTGGGCCACGGAGGCGGTTGCCTTAGGCATCGTTCTCATCCTCCTCGCTTTCGACGGGATCCTCCCAGGTCGTAGCGTACCATTTGATGAACTCATTGAGTGAGACGCTGCCATCCGAGTTCGAGTCGACCTCCTGGAGAACCTTATTTGCTGCCCCCCCCCCCCCTCTCTCCAGAAGTGTATGCTGACGGCAACCAGCTACCCTATTTTCCGCAAGGTGTTTAGATTTACGACATAAAACAGACTGAGCGCCCCCCAGGGGCTTTGTCGAAGGCTTCTTGCACCTCCCCTTGTTCAACGAGGCTGTCGTAGAGAGGCCGGAACTGCTCAATTGAGAGCTGCCCTGTCAATTCCTCCTTGGTCGCTGCAGTCAAGGCATGATACCCCAAACCCGAAACCCTAAACCCTAAACCCGAAACCCTAAACCCGAAACCCTAAACCCTAAACCCTAACTCCAACCTCTGCCTCGCACCAGCTGACCAGACCATCTGCCTGTATGAAAAAGTCCTATCTGCCCGCTTCAACCACCCTTTCTCTGCAAAAGATGCCAAATTCAGCCCCATGAGAAGCCATTCAGTTCAGGGATTCAAAAAGCAACACACACACACACACACACACACACGACTTTCATGAACCCTCTGTAGCTCTTAAAGAATGATATTCGGGGACCCCGACCATCGCCATGTCCAGAGAAAGACAAAACATCTCCCTTCAAAAGATCTTGCACTGCTGAAGTCTAAAGCAACCCCAAATCCCAGACCAGAGTATAAAATAAGAAAGATAACGATATAGCAATGTCACCATAGCAACCAATATAACTGCAAAGGGTTCCCAAATCCCACCGGGCTTCGTCATACGCACGGAAAAACTCACCAACCTGCGGCGGCATGATGCCATGCTTCGAATGGTACGAGACACAAGTCATGCCTCCGGATATCACAACAGACTCTGGAGCAGGACCATTCAAGGCCCTCGTCGATCGCAAAAATCCCCCATATACTATGCTAATATTTGGCGGAGGGGATTTGACATAATGTAGCCAAAATGGGGGTATCTAATATTAGGGGGTAGGGGAGAGGGTTTACTATTAGGGGGAGGGGATTAGACTATAATGTAACCAAAATGCGGGCATCTAATATTAGGGGGTAGGGGAGGGGGTTTAATAGTAGGGGGAGCGGATTAGACTATCATGTAACCAAAATGGGGGGTGTCTAAAAATTAGGGGGTAGGGGGTGGGGGGGGTTTACTTTGGGGGGAGGGGATCAGACTGTGTTTCCGGCCGTGCCTGGTGGATGTACTGCGAATGTTGGTCGCTGGCATCGTGCAGCAAGTGCGAAAACCGGTCATCCTCCTGGCTGAGACTGCACCCACACTTTTTTTCGGGTTTAGGGTTTAGGGTTTAGGGTTTAGGGTTTAGCAGGGATGGGTTTAGCAGTGGAAGTGACACATGGACGCAGCAGCTCCTGCCGCCAGCGCAGGTACTCCGGGAAGTCGATGTATCCGGAGCCATCCTTGTCCAAGCCAGCGAAGGCCTTCAAGGCTCTGGTTTAGGGTTTAGGGTTTAGGGTTTAGGGTTTAGGGTTTAGGGTTTAGGGTTTAGGGTTTAGGGGTTAGGGTTTGGGGTTTAGGGGTTACGGTCAGGGTTTAGGGTTTAGGGTTTAGGGTTTAGGGTTTAGGGTTTAGGGTTTAGGGTTTAGGGTTTAGGGTTTAGGGTTTAGGGTTTGGGGTTTAGGGCTTAGGGAACACCATCTGAACACCCCCCTCCCTTAAGAGCAGCGTCCTGAACACTGTGCCGCAACTCCGGTCGGCAAAGAATTGCTTCTCTCTCTTTGTGTGCAGGGAGCACAAAAAACATACGCTCATTCTACCCCACCCCCTTTCGTGCTCGGAAAGCCTGGAACCCACCCACCCCCGCCCCCCCCCCCCCCCCCCCAGAACTTCGAGACCGTACCGACATTGTTACATTTTGTATTGCCACTACTATTCCTCTATTCCTGTATTCTGAGATTGTTGTAGCAGATGATGCTGCTATATTGTTGAAGTGCCATAGCAGGAGCTCTTCGGAGTAGACCCGAGCCAGGCCATGCAAATGATGCCCCGGAAGACCGCTCTGCGAAACTTCAGTGCTTGACATCCTACCCTAAACCCTAAACCCTAACCCTAAACCCTCAACCCTGAACCCTAAACCCTAAACCCCTGAACCCTAGACCGTCTAGACCCTACACGCAACGCTTGCGAGCTCCACTTTCTGACCTGTGCCCTTAGCTGCTCAACTCTCATGTTCAGGGCGGGACCAACCAAGCGAACAAGCCTCCATTTCGACACCGAAGTTGGGAGGAAACGGAGGCCTCTTAAACGAAACTATGCAGCCTCTACCAGACAGAAGGTTTCCACCCTGTTTCGTGAAAAGCAGAGGTTTTGGAGAATCGCATGGTCTCGCCACGTAGTTCAGAGACCCCCTTTCACGAAAATCTGCGGATGGGGTGCACCTTCCAAAGCCCTGATTGCCCGCCTCCTCTCCAAGCCCTTATAAACTTACATCTATCAGCATTCCTTGATTCCAGGAGGCATCTTTCATGCTCACGTCCTCGCTTCCGGAACCCCTCCGAACTCCCAGGCTGGGTAAAGAATTCAGCAGAACCCAGGGCGTGCCTGATCTAATTCATCCTCGCTCCTCAAGACGAATGTGCACTGCTAGCTGAAATCTCCTCTCCCTTCTTGCATGCATCTGCCAAGAACTGCTAAGAGCTTGTACCCTGACTCGCCGAATGCGCCCTGGTTTAGCTTAAGCCAAAGCTCAGGCAATAGCCATTCACGTAGCACTTCTGCTGGAAATCGAGGATGTCCATCCTAATTAGTGTGTCGTTTTGAAACGGCTGCTTCATGATCGCTGTCGCATTACATGATACTGCAGGTTATGCCGCATGGACATCTGGTGCACTGATGTGGCTGAACGGCCTGGCACAGCCGCCCGTGCCCTGAAAGAAGGACTTCTTCACGCGCTGGACGAACTCTTTCTCCTCAAGCTGCACCCTAAACCCTGAACCTAAGTCTCTTTGCACTTGTGCAGTTGCCCCGTTGCCATCATGACTATGCTCTCCTCCGTCGACTTGAACTTCAATCCCTTCTGGCGCTCGTCTTGAAGCTTCCACCACGCCAGGAACTCTGAATACTCAATGCCAGACCTGAAGAACCCACTGCATCCGGTGCTTCATCTGGCGCTTGTGGTCCCTAACCCTAAACCCTAAACCCTAAACCCTAAAACCCTAAAACCCTAAAACCCTAAAACCCTAAAGACTCAAAGGCTGCACTGACTTTTGTGGCAGCAGGCTCCCCAGACATGCGGACAAATGCTGCCGCCATCTCCTCGTCCTCGCAAGCGCGGTCTGAGCCGACGTCTTATGTCTCAGAGATGCTTCGGAATCATGCGGAATTCTTTCTTGGGCTCTAAACCCTAAACCCTAAACCTTAAACCCGAAACCCTAAACCCTAAACCCCTTACTTATGGACATGTCATGTCGGGAACATGGCTCCTCTAGTCAAACCTCACAGGCTAGCCGCCTGGGGCAGGGCTACGTAGGACCCCACGTGTCCTCGACATCTTCACAGAAGCCCTTGTCGGCGCACATGCTTTGGAATTGCTCGAAGGCCATTCCTGGATTGCTTCATGCAGTCGAGAATCGGAGTTATGCGTCAGATCCTAGTATGAAAGCTACTTTGCAGCGCAAGCCCGATTGGCTACTTGTGCTTCTCTCGTTTGACCTCTTAACCATCCAAACCTCGTCCCAAAGATGTTTCATCAGCAGGAGCTGGAACCCGTGAAGCCCCAGAAACCTAAACCCCAAATCCTGCACTCCTAAACCCCTCAACCCCTCAACCCCTAAACCCCCTAAACCCCCTAAACCCCCAAACCCCTAAAAGGTATCGCTGCCCACCAGAAGCATCCTAGACACGGCCATCCCTGGAGTACTGCTCGAAGACGATTTGGCTCAGTGGTGCAGTAAGCCCCCGCTGGGTATCGAAGTTCATGGGCGCAGAGAGCCGGCCCACAGGGTCATAAACCTAACTCACTTATTGATGAGGCGTGGAATGCAGTCCTTGTGCCTGGGCTGAGTGGAAAAAGAGAAGTGTGGCTTCTTACAAGCTCCCACATCCAAAAGCTACCTGTCCGCGTATACATTCGCAGCCGGCTTCCTCACAGCTTGAGCCATGACAGCATCGGACATCTGAAGAACCATGCCAACCAGCAGGGCTGCGCATTCTCCTCACATTCGGCTTTCGCATGCTCTCGCGTTTCCAGACGAAATGCCTGATCTCGAATCCCGCTTTTAACAGAAACCAAAAAAGACGAAAGACAACCCCAATCTCAGTCTTCCTAAGCTCGCGCACCCTCATCAGCAGTGCCGGTCGGGCGTATGCCAGGCCTGGGCCGTTGCCAGGGTTCTGAAAGGAAGTAGAGGACCAGTCATGTGGACATACTTTTGACCATACACATATATGTATATACATGTATGTAATGTAATTAATGTAATGTAATGTAATGTAATGCAATGTCATGTAATGTAATGCAATGCAGTATAATGTAGTATGTACGTATGTATGTATGAATGTATGTGTATGGTTTTCACGAATGTTTATATATTCTTATAGTGTATGTCGGGAATGTCTGGCACGCTCCTCGTGAGCGGCTTGTTGCACGTAAGATTCAAAATTCCGCTCAAGTGCCTCGAGCCATGACCCGAAGACACGTGGACCGCAATGAAGAAGCTCCGAGGCTTTGCAGAACATTAAGAAATCATGCGCCGCCACTGTTCAATCGGCCCCACCAACTCGGCGTCGACAACAAACCCAACCTTGCAAGGTCAGCAAGTACAAAACTCCACAGAGGTGCGCACGGGGGAGTCGGCGATCGTGAGCGAGCAACTGCTGCCTGCACATGCTCGGGCGCGCTCCCACGACTGGTTGACGGGTCGTGCTAGGCCCGCTACTTGAAGGTTCATGGTACTATTAACCAATTTGTGACTGTACTTATAACTGTACTTCTAACGGTACTCATAACCATAAAGTACAGTAGGTTTTCAGGGTCTACAAGAAGCATGGGTCCCCACTGGCCTCGGCCGCGGCCGCAAGGGCCGCTGCCGGCATGCCTGCACTGCTGGGCCTCCCATGCATCAGGGAACCTTAACCCCTAGACTCTGTTTAGGGTTTAGGGTTTAGGGCTTAGGGTTTAGGGTTTAGGGTTTAGGGCTTAGGGTTTAGGGTTTACAGGGTTTAGGGACCTTCACCTATAACCATATTAGGGCACTTAGGGGGCTTACAAGTGGGTTATAAGTACAGGTACAGTTAGAATTGGTTCAGGAGACTCTGTTTACGCATATGGATACAGGGACTCCTGCCTCTGCTCCTACTAAGGCTGCGGGCGACGGATACTTTATTGCGGAGAAGGAGTTAACAACAGCGCTGACATGCGCTGTCTCCAGACAAGCAGGGGTTCATGGGGTTCATGGTACTTCTCAACCAAATATAACTGTACTTACAACCCACTTATAAGCCCCCTAAGTGCCCTAATATGGTTATCAGTACAGCTAGAAGTACAGCTATAATTGGTTAAGAAGTACCCTAAACCCTAAACCCTAAACCCTAAACCCTAATTAGGTTCATAAGTACCATGAACCTCCAAGTGGTGGTCATTCTTCAAGGCTTTTTGGCCACGTCTCTCGCCTCCCGCGGGCTGCCACGTTGGGGCCCTCGGCATCGCGGCCTTGTCAAGTTTAGGGTTTATGGTTTAGGGTCCAGGGTTGAGGGTTGGGGTTTAGGGCTTAGGGCTTAGGGTTTAAGGCTTGTATCCTATGGACCTTGGAACTCTTTGCGCCAATTCCTCGACTCGACTCATACCCGTTAGTAGTCTCAAGAATATCCCACTGGTAAGCCCTTTTTCTGCGCGCGTGCTCTTGCGAAAGGATGTCCTTCTAGAAGACATGGTGTTTGCCTTGCGCCTCTTTTCTTAATAGTTGCTTGCTTCCGCTAATGCTTCATACTCTGGATTTCATGTAACAAACTGCAAACATCTCATCTGCTTGATGAAGATTCTACCATATTGTGAAGTTTGAACTGATTCCAAAAGCTCGTCCATTCTATCAACCATCCTTGCCCATTTTCAGATCGACAATGCCTGGTAAACTGTGGCTTAGGGAGCCGGGTATTCTTCCTGCATATAGGACGACCCGAAACCCTAAACCCTAAAATCCTAAACCCGGACCCTCCAATCCCCTGCTGGCCTGCGACTGCAGGTGCCATGGGTACCTGATGCGCTGCAGGAATGAATATCCGCAGGCCCCCGAACCCAAACTCCTCAGCTCAAGCCTCAAGACGTGTGCAGCTCTGTGCAACATGCAAGACCTTAAGAAGGTAGGTTGGGCATGCCGGAACTAAGCCAAAGGTTTTCGTCCTTTGCCCTTGCAACTTGTTCGCCGCTTCCGCGAGGTGCGCGGTGCTGGCCTGTCGGGGCAGTACAAGAATTCGCCGGGCACGTGAGAAGCACATAGCAGTCTTAACCGAGGGTCTGACATACATGGTGGCATGGTGGCTTACGATATTAGGGGTACCTTATTGGGGTCCTTCTAGTACAGGGAATCCTACTCGTTGGGCAAGCTTATGGGGGCTCCCCTATGTTCGTAAATACCCTTCTTGGGATCTCCCATTAGCTCCCCCTTGGCCTGGGCCGCTCCTTGGGAGGGCCCGGAGGAGCCGCGGATTCGTTGGAATCCTTCGACTCCTTGGCCCGCCTTGGCCGCTTTGGTCGCCCCTGGCCCTTCGCCATGTGCGAAGCCCGCTTCATGGGGCCACAGGGCCCTACTTTCATGGGCGCCGTGGTTCGGCTGGGCATGCTGCTTTGCATCGAAGTCTTGGCCTCGCTGTCAGAGAATGTTGGAGATAGCAGTCGATTCAGCTCATCCTCTCTCCAAATCAGCTTGCGGCGGGAGGCATCCTCGAAAAGTGCGGCCACATCATCTGAGAGCGAGCGCTCGCCCTTCAGCAGTGTGGCATTGGCAAAGACAATAAGCGAGTGCTTCGCTCTGGTGAGGGCCACGTTAAGCCTCCGAAACTCTGAGAGGAAGCCCAGTCGGCGTTGCGCATTCGCCCGGACGAAGGACAGCAAAACCACCTCAGCCTCAGATCCCTGGAAGCTGTCCACAGTGTGCACCTCCACGCCAGCCTGTGCCCCCAGCAACCGACGGATCAACCTGGCCTGGCCGTTGTAAAAAGTTATTACCACAAGAGCAGGGCAGCGGCCCATAGCTATCTTGCCCTGATCTTTGCAAACTGCAGCCAACTGCTTCGCAAAGTGCGCCAGGGCATCTGCTTCACGTCTGTTGATGATGTGACTGTCCTGACGGTAGATCTCCTCAGCACCTGATGCCACATCCACCACGGCGTACGGCGGCAAGTTGTGACTGGGAAAGTGCCCCGAGTTCCCACGCACGTCAACCAGCCGCCCACCGTAGAAGCGAGCGGAGGGGAAGCGGCTGATCTCTGGATGCATGCGGTACTGCTCCTGGAGCATGATGTATTCCTGGCTACAGAGCGCATGTGGGTCTAAGAGCCGCCCTCCAAATCGGCTTCCCTCCGTCCTGCCCAAGACCCATTAGCCGCTCCATCATCGACCGGCAGAAATGCGCCTTGGATGAGGATTGCAAGAACCTTTGTTTGCAAAAAGGCCCTAAAGACTTAAAGTAGGGGTTTACGATCATAAGGGACCCCTAATAGAGACCCCCACATGGATCCCCTTGTAATAAGGACCCCAATACGGTAGCCCTAGACCCTAAACCCTAAACCCTAAGCCCTAAACTTCCCTAAGCCCTGAGCCCTAAACCCTAAACCCCAAACCCCAAACCCTAAACCCTAAACCAAAATCCTAACCCCACTCTCGGAAACCCCCCAAGTGGATCGATTGTCCGGGCTCTGCACTACTTGCTCTCCATGCGACGCTCTTCGCCATGTCGGAGTGGCAGACGGTGGCGCTCAACTGCATTGGATCCTCACATACTGTACAAGTCCTAATATGGGGGTTTACGAAAATAAGGGACCCCAAGATAGACCCCTAAATAGTCGGATCCCCCTTAGAAGAAGGACCCCAATACGGTACCCCCTAATGTCGGAAACCCCATATAGCGGATGCAGAAGGTCGTACTTTCAGTATGGTGACAACAAGCCAAAAGCACAGTTCGCCAGGTTGGAGGAATCTCAGAAGACTGTCGATGGCTGCCGCAGAATTCGTCATCCCAGCATACTATGAGGCTCCGAAAATTTAGGGTTCTTAAGGAGGGGAGGTTCAAGCGGGGTAGGTACCTAGGCAACCTTAGGGAAGCTTAGGGAGCCTTAGGGAGTAGTGGGGAGTATTAGGGAACCTTGGGTTACATCCCCCCCTTGAACCCCCCCTCCCTTAAGAACCCTATAAGAAAAGAACCGTCCAAGAAGCTCCCACCAGGACCAGCTGCTTCGGCTGCAGGCACAGGGGCACCTGAAGGCGGGAAACTCAATGTAACCACCCTAGGGCCGAGCTCCTTCCTTCCAAGATGCTCAGCTTCAGAGTAGCATGCGGCTTAGTGGCTCAGTGTACCTGCTTTCAAGCTTCATCTTCATCTCAACAGTGGTCTCTATCAGCTGCAAAGTTTGCAGGCGGAGGCACCAACGTCTCCGCTTCGATGGCTTGGGCGGCCTGTTCACATTTGTCGAACAGAGCTCTGTTTTGCTCGTGCGACCGCTGTGGATTTGCTGGCGGGGGGGGCCTCATCCACCAACACCGTTTCGATGCCGTCACGCAGAGTCATCTGCAACCCAGGCCTTTTGCACGCAGGAAAAACAGCGAATTCTCCAAGTGCTGCCGATCTTGAGTTCTTGCGATGCGTGCACGCACGTGCAGGACATATACGCCTGATGCATGTGCCAGCCTGCCCGCGCAGCTGAGCGTGCAGAAGACAGCTGCTGCAGCTTTCAGCCTTGCAGATACGACATCCACCAAGCAATTGAGGACACCCCGCGAAGTGCTTCAAACACTGCCTATTCGCCATCTTCTGCCGAGAAACTGTTCCGTCTCGAACTCAAGCGCCTTCAGTTCAACACCAGTCCAACTACATTCCAGTGGATACAAGTACGAGCCCCTAAGCTGCCATGAGAGAGTGGACTATGCAAGTGGTTTGAATCCAGAAAACCAACGAAGGCAGATGTGGCCCGGAGCCTCCCCGAAGCGCTCGCGCCGCGCTAGCTCAGTCAGACGCTGAATGAGACCGCCACGAATGGGCCGCCTGCACGAGGCACCGAGACAGCTCAAGCACTCGGAAGCTGACTTTTCTTGTATAAATGTGTAGACTGGTCGATTGATGTTGCCAACGATCTCATGCGATCTCACTTCACACACTCGTCATACGACCTCACGCTCCCACTGCTACTGTGAAGCGTTGTGGGCAAAACACAGCCAAAAACCCGAAATCGACAACATGCTCCACACGGGTCTCCACAACAACCGCTCCTCGTGAAGTGCTGCGCAGCGGACTCCGACTCGTCTGAAGAGGTCGCAGCTTCACCTCAGTTTCCAAGAGAGGTGGCACACCTGGCTGCAGCCTAGACAGACCTGCCACACCCCAAGGCATGGATGCAAGCACGAACTCTGTCCGCGCCCTCAAACACTTGGACCTTTGGAACATGAACTTCTTGAAGCTTGGTCCCGCCGACTGATGCCTCGCAGATCATCTTCTGGGTGACTCTTTTGAGACGCAGGCTGAATGCCCCCACATAGGCAGAACATGCCACCATAACTTAACCTGCCTTGACCTGCCTCGAAACTATGTGGTGCCTAAGCCATAGCAGCCCTGGTGCTGCTTGTCTGCTCCACATCACCGGCGTTCTCCTGCCATCAGCTTGTGAGCAGCTGCTTCGCAGAGCACGCAGAGCACAGAGGTGACGGGCACCCCGAGATCGCTCTGAAGCTCAAGGCTCAAGACCCATCGCAACCCGTCGAACAAGGTTGCGCTCACAGAAATCTCTGTGAGGGCAATCCTCAGAACTTCAAGCTCCTCCCTGTTGTCCAAGCAGTTCCGCAGGTATTTCGTGGACAAGTTGCGTGGCAGCTTCAGCCTGATACCGTGACTCTGCTTTGGCCGGGGTAGGGTTGAACTGGCTTGCACCCCTATAGGACTATAGGAAGTTCACGGCACAACATCTTCCCGAACTGTAAGGCGTGGGGTCCCGGTAATGATAGAAGCCGCCCTCAGCTGAGCTCCACAATCCGACATTCTGAACTCAGCGCGCGAACTCCTAGACCGAGATCCCCAGACTCGGAACACACACCACTTGCCTGAGAAAGGCCGCAGGAACACTCCGCTCCAGCGTGCGCAGTGCCTCTGAGAGGTCTGGGTGGTCCGTCGCATCTTGAAAAATGCATGCGAGTGGACCCTAAACCCTAAACCCTAAACCCTTGAAGATTCTTTGCCGTCATGGGTTCACATGTGAAGCTGTGTCTGAAGAATGGGTCGAAAGTCCACTGGCCTCTTAGTGGACTGTCTTGAAGGCCATTCAACACGATTGAACTCAAGAAGCTGATTGCTCAAGGTTTAGGGTTTAGGGTTTAGGGTTTAGGGTTTAGGGTTTAGGGTTTAGGGTTTAGGGTTTAGGGTTTAGGGTTTAGGGTTTAGGGTTTAGGGTTTAGGGTTTAGGGTTTAGGGTTTAGGAAGGCCGACTCCTGCTGAGAACCTTGGGCCCCAATGATCCTGATGATTCCGAGTGGCCTCGACCGCTTCTTGCAGCATCGAGGTGTCGCTTAGGTCGTCAACACACTTCTTCACCAAAGCGAGGGCATGTTGCACTCCTGGTGTAGTTGGGCTCAGCTTGGTGGAGGCATATATGCACACCACACTCGACTCAGCGCACTTCTTCACGTCCCAGACGCGAGTGTGGATAAACGCTGCCCGAAGGGGCCCTTCGGAAGGCACCCGGTCCTGGGCCGTGGAGTGTTGCAGCAGCTTGACAGACTGTTTCCAAAGGAGAAGTGCTACAACAGTGTGGGTCCATCCTTAGCGTCTCGTGAGTGTGACTTGCTGAATCTTGCTGAGTTGCTTTGACCTGTGGCCTCCGCGACAACGGCAGTCGTCCCAAAAAGCTTCTGGAGGGTTTACTGACTGAAAGTTGGAAGAAAGTGTGCCATTTCTCGTGCTTCAGCACCCAGTACTTAAAGCTGGACAAAATCCGTTCAATGCTTCAGCCCGTGTCAAGGTGTGTTGAAGCGGCACGATAAAGGAGCCGCGGGAAGACTAAAACTGGTGGGGGTTCATCACGCCTCGGTGCGCTTGCCAAGAGTCGTCACGGTAGGTGGAATGATTTTGTGCGCACGATTTTGTGCGCACGATTCGCCGCAGGATCCACCAACAGGCTTCCGTTGTGCTGGGTTGATTGTCCCGAGGCACCCATGTGCACAGTGTAGGATTTCGCGCTTGTTGAATTTGGTGCTTCTGAGCTGGGCTTTCTGCCAGACCATGTGCAACCTGCTGATGATACTTAAAGGCAGTTCGAGCATTTCTTGTTTCTGTGCTGGTACACACTCTGCAGCTGGCCTCTAGGGACTCAGCCTTCAGGGTTTAGGGCCTTTGGTAGTGTAGGGTTCTCGCTTGAAGGTCCGAAAGGTGGAAAAAGGAGGGGTCTCATGGAACAGATTTGGTTGGCTCCATCAAAGTCAAGTTTGAGGGCTCACAATACAAAGTTCGTGGGCCACAACACATGGTCATCTCTCCAAAATATGGCGCCTTTTGGGGGTCCTTATTCTTCAGGCAGCCCCTCTTACTTAGGGTGCCCAAAAGGGACCATCTTGAGAACTGGACAGGACGCCAACTCTCCTGCAAATAGGGACATGGAAACGAGTTAGGACCCAAGGTTATCTGCCTAGCACTGCGCGGGGTTGTCTTATAGACCGTTCATCGGTATCAAGAAATGAACTCGTCACTTATCACAAGTGCAGCAGAGGATCGTCCACACCAACAAGACACAGTGGGCATCGACGGCCCTCCTAGCGACGGAGAGTTGGCTTGTGTGCCCCAAAGGCTAAGAGCGTTAGGGGCCAGGTGCGAACATCGAAGCCGCGTGCGAATGATGCGAATGCACCAGCCCTAAACCCTAAACCCTAAACCCTAAACCCTAAACCCAGCTTGTGCCTAGCAGGGTGGCTTCTTCGGCTTGCAACAGTCTGAAGGTGCCTCCGTCTTGCTGAAACTCTCCAGAGCAACCTGCACGGCACCATTGCTGGGAGCACCTGGACAACCGAAACTCAGAGACAAAACTCTGAAGCAGGCCATAGTGGTCATGAATTGCACTATCACATCGAATCACGGATTCTAAAAAACAACAATCTCGACACGAGTCTGAAAAAACGCTATCTGCATGAACTTCGGTGCAGTCGTGGCCACTCACCAGAATACGGCCCTCATCTCCGAGCTTGTGTCTTTGTGCCAGCTGCCTGACGGCAGACAAGGAACCAAGGTCATCAGAAAAGTCAGAGAGCGGCCAAGACTGGCAACTGCAAGAAGTTCGGTAGGGGTTTAGGGTTTAGGGTTGAGGGTTGAGGGTTGAGGGTTTAGGGTTTAGGGTTTAGGGTTTAGGATTTAGGGTCACACAGCTGAGGTGCTGGAGCAGCGCCACTACTGCTCGAGTCTTCCCGGTGCCTGGCAATGGCTTGGCAAGACAGATAACGACTAATTGCTTAAGAAGCCAGAAAGAATATGTTCTTTCTTAATCAGGTTACTATAGGGATAATTATTTCCTACTCTTTGGGGTTCTGAAGCCAACAGTAGAGAACAGCCTGCACCCAGGGCTGCAGTTCTGCTGAGTAGCAGGTATCAGAGCAGCCACAGTACCAGACCCTGATCCTGCCAAAGTTTTCTTATCAACACCAAAACGAGAAGTCACTACAGAGTTGAACCATCTTGCTCATTTGCACGCAAGTAAGAATAAGCAATGCATGAAACTCGCGTCACGGCATTGAAAGCTGCACAACTGGAGCCTCGCCTGGCGGGCCCTGCAGCAAGTGGCAGCGCCGCTGCAATCCGTCCTGGGGTGCCAGCTCGCACAATCTTCACTTAAACCCCGCATCTGCTCTCAGCCATTCTACAATGCCATTCACGACAGTGAAGCTCGAGGAAGCCTCCTGAAACCCCGAACCCTAAACCCTGAACCCGAAACCCCAAAGCCCGGCCAAGTCTCCGAAGACAGGATCTTGGAGATGGCCTCCTCTTGGAGCATGTTCAGCCCCTACCAAAGCATCAGCATGAGGGGGAGGGGGAGGGGGAGGGAGGGGAGGGAAGGGGGAGGGGGTTTAGTCTCAAGGTCCTTTCAGGGGATGCGCCCGTGGAAAAAGAGCCCCTTGAAGGGGAGGGGGAAGTCCTACTCAGAAGGTAATCTACCTTTTGGCTATTTTGGGGAACAGGAATTTTACACCCTAAACCCTTCGTATGCTGAAGTTGTCGCCTGGTCCTTCGGCTTCATCGGCTCCTCTGAGTCTGAGGTTTCCAAGGCTTCCCGCGTCTTCGAGAATTCCTCGTGCTCCGACACTTCCGCCTTTGCCTCGGATTCGGTGAATTTGGTAGCTGGGCTTTGGATTGCAGACATGTCGAACGTCCCTCAAGCAGCTCAGCCACCTCTGCTTGCCCCGCATCTGAGTCAGAGTCGGAAAAGATCCTGAGACACACCGGGGGGTCTGTGAGTCACTCAGGCAGGCCTGTGTTGTTTCGACTGCAGTGCTTGGGTCCCACTTTGAACAAATGCAAGTCTAGGCAGAAGGACCTCAACAGGTAAAACCTCCACAGGGTCCCATACAGTCACTCGAGTCAAAGCTCTGGTGCGTCGCGCCGCGCGCCCCCACAAGCTGGTGCAAGAAGGGAGGCTTCGGGGCCAGGACACAGGCTGTCCACATGCGAAGCCTCCGGAGATCGGATGCTCTATGAAGCAATTCTTTGGTTCACGATTGCATCACGTGGCATTCCTGTAAACAGGGAAAGTTTTTCAGGGGTGCACGGCTTCACAGTGCTTTCAGATGTGCTTGCTCGCTTCTTCCCTCGTAGTTGAAGCTCATACGAAGCTCCGAAGCCCCCGTTTTGTGGAGAAGTCCAGTCTCCTTGTAGCACATGAACCATCTTGCTCTCCTAAACCCTACGCTCTAGACCGGAGCGTCACTAGCAAAACCCACACACGCAAACTGCACGGCGAGACGCGACGGGACCAAGTCCTCCAACGGCCGCAGCATTGCTTGGATAGGGTGGTCTGGAGACGAGGTCCTCGCCATCCAGGGCCACTTGGAGGTTCATGGTAGTTATTAACCAATCATACCTGTACTTTTAACTGTGCTTGTAGCCATATTCGGGCACTAAAGGGGCTGATAAGTGGCTTATACATGCAGTTATAATTAGCTAATAAGTATCATGAACCTCCAAGTAGGGGCTGAAGGCCTAGGCTGGCAGGACAGTCGCTCGAACCCTGCGCCAAGCCGCTGTTGGACCCAGCGCCACGCAGGCAACGGGTAGCCGCACAGATGAACGGACACCTCCTTCGGGAGAACATCCGTAACTTATGTGCGTAGAGGCGGGTGAAAAGGCGGGCTCATCACATGGTGATAGGGGGACGACATGAGCAGCTTCGGACAACCAAAGAATACTACAACTACAATGAAGTAAAGAGCCAGAAAATAAGAAATTAAAATTTCCTTTATCATGAATCATAACCATTAGCTATAGTCATAGTTATAGCAAGAACTATTGCAATAATGTAATAGGATGTAATAGGACCGATCTCCTGGCCATGCCCACTGGATATTGAGGCGCGCTCCACAAAGAATATGGCAGCCTGCTTCCTGCAGCGGAAGCTGAGGAATCCAGGAAGCGGGCTTCGTCAGTGTTGATGGGCTGATCGCAAGCGTTGATGCAGTGGGGGGGGTGGGGAGGGGGTACCCCTAAGCCCTAAGCCCTAAGCCCTAAGCCCTACCAACCCTAAACTTAACACCCTAAACCCGAACCTTGAACCCTAAACCTTGGAAAAGCAAAGAGCACATGCGCACACACACACACACACACACACACACACACCCACGCACGCACGCACGCACGCACGCACGCACGCACGCACGCACGCACGCACGCAAGCAACACAAAAAATAACCCAGGGTCCCTCTCCAAAGCCAAAAGAAATAACACGAAAAAGGGGGCCAGGGTCCCTCTTTGAAGCCAAGCTGCTCCCTGTGCGGACGAAGCTCCACGGCCCAGGCAGTTCTCAATGTTGGCCTGGTAATCGCATAGTCGTAACGATTAGTATAACTATAAGAAAATCTTTAACACACACATACATATATATATATATAGAAATAGTGTAACCATGCAATAACGAATTCATGAAAGCATGTATAATGCTGTAAGTGATGAGGTGATGTAGTGATGTAAGAATGCAATAATGTAACAATGTAACAATGTAACAATGTAACAATGTAACAATGTAATGACGGGATCGCGCACAGCAAACCTCGGATCTTTGGGTGCAGAAACCTTGTCGACAGCAACCAGGATCCCGGCCAGTCAGGGCCCGGCAGCACATGGGCTTTGAAGCACCTGCGGTTTAGGGGTTAGGGTTTAGGGTTTGGGGAACTCAACACAGGGAGCAAGTCTACGGATTGGCCCCTGAAACCCTCTGCACAGCGGCTCATGACATGAGACTTCCGCTTGAAACGCGATACTGGGAACACGACATCGGGGCTTCCGAAAAAAAAAACTTGAGAGCAGGGCGAACGAAAGCTAGGGCGCAGGTGTGAAGACCGCGCTGCTCAGCCCTGAAATGATAAGTAACAATGCTGACCTAAGGGGGGGCGGGGGGGGGGGTCCTAAGGGGGGGCGGGCCCCCCCCCACCTTATCGGGAACATGGGGCCCCCCCCCCTTGGGTCCGCCAGCCTCCAAGGATTTCTTGTGTGGTCACCCCCAGAGGGGGGGGGGGGCCCCCATGGCAGCTTAAACCTCCGATATATCGGAGATTAAGGCCCCTGAGTGCTGTTTGACCCAAGAACAAAATGGTAAACAAGAACTCCCGCAAGCTCCAAAGGAGCTAGCTTTCGTGAAAAGGACCTCCAATGTATGTGTGTATATATATAGAGATCCCAAAATAGTAGGATTCCCTTTCTTTATATAAGGACCCAAATAAGGTACCCCTAATTTCGGAAATCCCTACATGAAAAAAAATCCCAAGGGAGGCCAGAGCACAGGAGGTGCTCCGAGACGCCTCGCTGCTTTGCTACCTGGGACTTAGGGTTTGGGGTTTGGGGTTCAGGCTTTAGGGTTTAGGGTTTAGGACTTCAGGTGGCTTCGCGAGTTTGGGCTTTTCGGGGCTTAGGAAGCTCAGGGGCTTCTTCTGTTTTTGTCAGTCTGGTCCCAAGACCCAAAGGGTTTGTAGGATTTATTGGGCTTATTGGGTTTATAGGAATTGTAGGCTTTATGTGAGCAGTATTGAGCAGTCATTGCAGACCAATCCAGATGCGCTGCTTCACTCGTGGGAGAAGACCTCAGAAAGCGAATCCGGTGCCTTAATCCCTCAAGTTCCCTGAGACAAATTTCGGCCCCCAGGAGGCCTTTCCGGGCCCAGTGCGCGTCAGCGATGTCAGCGTTGCCTCCCAGGAGCTGCATGGGGACAAAGCTGCGCGCGCGGACTCTCAAAATGACAAGTCGGTCGGCTGCGCTGGGCAGGTCGGGGATGGTCAATGTAGAAAAAACGACGAGGTTTCTGCTGAGTAGTGCCCACGACGTGATTCCCATCGCTACAGTGGTTGATTGCGTTGATGGCTCATATCTACTGGTAGAACCACTGGACGAAGCACCTTCTGAAAGAGTAAGTATCTTCATTCGGTGTGCTCGGCACAAAACTTGGAGGAAGCAGCTCGGTGAGCTGATTCGATCATCTGCGCAAGAGCATGTGGCGCATTTTCTATGAAGAAGGAAGCTGCAACAAGTTAATCAGAGTGAATCTCTCTACCCAACTCATCAAACAGCAGTTTCCCCCTCGCCACGTCGTTAAGTCCACAGACCTCAAAGCGACAACTTCGCTTCCAACTCCTCACTCCCCTGCCTCAGAAGGCTTGTTCTTTGCACGTCGTGCTGCTCGTGCGAGAGCACGGGATTCTGCAAGGACCAAGGTGGCAAGGCCTAAGCTGGGACTGGGGGGCAGTTTTGCATCAGCAGCTGCACACAATGGCACCGAGGCACCGAGCACTACGAAAACAAACCAGGCTGCTGGAGTAGTAGCTTCCCGCACAGGCGAAGCGCGCGGGCAATGGCTCGCAGCCAGGGTCGGCCGTGCGGTCATCTAAGCTATGCAGCACACCTCAGAGAAACGTCGACTAAGTGCTCGAGGTCAGCAACTGGGAAACAGTGGGGTACGTCGAGCTTCAGCTTCCGGCATGAGTTTTGCAGAGTGCTCCTTTGATGAAGCCCCAAAGATCAAAGATGTGCAGCACCTTCTAGAAACCTTAGCTACGAGAGCAACTACAACAAATCCAAGCTGTTCCCTGGCCCTGCACCAGTCATGCGCCGAGGTCACATGACCAGAAGGACAGTGCTGCTTCCCGGGCTGGCGGAACTCTTTTCCGCTTCTTGGCCATGCACAAAAGCAGCCACTGCGGAAGCTTGCATACAGAGGTCAAGGACTTGGGACAATATGACCTCAAAGACTACCCAAGCCTGGCTGCACCTTTCTTGACTTCTAGACCATGAGGGTACAACATGCTCAGCACAGCTCCACCTTCGTAGCAATCAAGAAGTATCAGTAGCTCAAGCTGGCCAGCACTCCAGTCTTATTCCCGCAGGTGTCCAAGTCTTGATTTTCCAGTGTAGGAGCTTCCCTAGAATCTCTCTGTAGCAACCTCTTTCGATTTGTTGGCAGACTTGAACACCTGCAGCCATGCTGGATGCGACTTGGGCCACGGAGCGCTGCGGAAGCGTTGAGAGCTTCTTAGGGCGCTAAGCTTCCGATGCTCAGGCCCTCGCGAGCCATGAGATCCCACCATCCCAGAAGCTCCCCTCTGAACAAAACGCTGCGCAAGACTTCCCCCCCAATGGCAACAAGTTGAAGCTTCACGCGACCTGGATGCCCATGTTCTGCAAGGCATTCTGAAACCAAGCCTGGCGATCTTGACACATTTTGGATGGCCACCCAGTCAAGAATGCCCCCTGGCTCTTGAAGACCCTGCAGTGCCAAAGGCTTGGTCTCTTGGCGCCCGAGCCCTATCCCTCAAACGTCGAAGCGCCCTGCCTGGTCATGGCCAGAAATGTCCACCTCGAGAGAAAGCAGCAAGAAAACCCCCGCGCGGCATGGGGATCCAACGTGTTTTCCTTTTGTAATTGCCCTGCCTCTGCCAGCAGCGCTTCACATAGAGGCTTGAGAGACTGCAAGCGGCGCTCCTGGGGCTTCTGGTGGACATCGGAACTTGGGGCACTGCATGTGCGCCCGAGCATGTCAGAGGTATACACAAAACTGCACTCGCTCATCGCAGGTCGAGCTACTGTTTGGGAGTCCTGCCTGGCTGGGAGAGTTTAGGGTGTTGGGGTGTGAGGTTCGAAGAGGGAACCTACAATGGAGGGCGCCTGGAGACTCTTCGGACACTGTCTGCACTGGTACTCAGACTTGCCACCACCAGCATCTCGAGTCTTGGTCCCATGCCAAGTCGAGGTCCACGTTCCGAAAGGACTTGGACGGCCTAAGAAGCTGCAGGCAGGGCTTCGGCACGTACTGAACCTGCGGCCTGCGGTGCCTGAAACTGGTTGATACCCCGCCAAGATCATTGTACATTCTACCTTTGATATTATATGCTCTACGTGGTGTGTATATATATATATGTACTCGCACATCTGTACACTGCGCACATATATTCTATCGAGGTGTTCACCAAAGAGTGTTCACCAAAGGCCCTTCATCACCCTCAGCTCCTGGGCACCTGCTTTGCCGACCAGCGGCTCTTGCTTCAGTCTGCTCGCAGCCTTCCTGCGAGACCACCGGACTCCAAAAGCCACGCGAGAGACTCACAAGATCTCGCAAGCGCTCGGCCCTTCCTTCGCCTTCCTTGGCAAAGACTCCCTAGAGGCCTACAACTTCAACCGCCAATGTGTGCGACTTGAGCTATGGATCTTCAGAGAACATTTTTGAACAATGCACCAACAAGACGACATCTCTCTATGCCTTTGATTTGAAGGGCCCGGAGGTGCACAGTCTGCACTAAGAAACGGTGATGAAACCTCGACGATAGATGAAGCTGACCGAATTGCAAGATGATGCAGGAAGATGCCACCCAGTATCTCGGAGCGTTTTCTTCTGTAAACGATCTCTCAGTGCTGCCGGTGTTCGGCAGCAGGGCCCAGAATCCAGGCATTTGAGATTCCGGGAAGGCGCTAAAAGGGTGGGATGTCCCCCTTATACTAACAGTCCTTCACGGGGATTGTAATAGGGCGTACTACTACTATAGTCCCCATTAAGGACTGTTAGTATAAGGGAAAACATCCCACAACAAAGGCTTCAGGCGTCGCAGGCTTCGAACCGCCATATAGGTGATCACCTCAGCTTCTGGGCCCCAAGGCTCAGCGGAAGCGTGTGAGAACAGAGCACTGGGCCTTCACATGCGATCACAAAAAGAGTTCACAAGAGAAAAGACGGGGCCCTTGAAAGCCAAGCTGCTTCTTGAACAAAGCTCTCTGCATGCTTCAGCCTAGGGAAGCTCTGCTCTCAAGCTCAGGTCCCAGCCCTTTGCCAGGCAAAATGTCCGTGGCGTCCTCCTGCCGAACGTCCATGGATGCAAACGAATGCGTGGCGAGCGTGTCTTGGAGTTTCGACGGTCCGGCTTTCTCCCGGGCGACGGAGTCGAGTGTCGAATGTGCTGATGATGAAGATGCCCATCATCATCATCATCATCATCATCATCATCGTCGTGGCGGCCGTAGCGCTGCTGGTGATGGTGCTGCTGGTGCTGGTGGTGCTCCAGCCGGATTGTCAAATGTGCTTCTTATTTGGGTCCGAATGTTGATGGCGATGATGCTGGTGCACATGGTGACAACGGTCGAGGTGAGTGAAACTGCACTTAAACGCTTCGAAAACGCTACCACACTCTACTCGAGGCCTACACCGGAAACAAGCACCCCCGATGACCCTAAACCCTAAACCCTAAACCCTAAACCCGAAACCCTAAACCCTAGACCCTAAACCCTAGAACCAAACCCTAAACCCTAAACCCTAAACCCTAAACCCTAAACCTAAACCTTTGCCAAACCTCTGGAGCCTGCTTCGGCGCTTTCTTAAAGCGCTGCTCCAGCTGCTGGCGCAGCCGGACCTGAAGCACAAGGGGCAGCTCATTATGCATTGCGCGTAACAATTATGATTATTATTATGATTATTATTTTTTATTGTTATTATTACTATTATTATTGTGAGTATTTTATTACTATTAATATTATTATTATTGCTATGATTAGTATTACTATTTATTGTTCTCCTTATTGTCAGGCTTCAAGCTTGCAAGCCGTGGATTCTCAGTGCAGTAGTGGATCAATAAAGCAGCTGGATATGGATTCAAAGGGCAAACTGGGTGAAAGTCCATCTAAAAATAACGATACATTGCTATAGTATTCTAGTAACACTAGGAATCTTGCACTAGGATTTTCATGTCATGTTGGTGCATGATTGTGGGATTCTATGGTAGCATTATAAACGAAATAAGTATAGCAACGGACATCAGGTGTTGCAGCCTCCGACGCCCGACGCAGCTGATTGCCGAGCTCCGGCAGGCACTGCCTCTGGAAAACAAAAACAGGGTTTAGGGTTTTTAGGGTTTAGGATTTCAGGTTTAGGGTTTAGGGTTTAGGGTTTAGGGCTTAGGGTTTAGGGTTTAGGGTTTAGGGTTTAGGGTTTAGGGTTTAGCATTGGTCAGCTGGACGCAATCGTGTGAAGACATGTCCATCCTAAGATCATCTTAAAGCACCTCTACGGGGGCGGGTTTTGGATTTAGGGTAGGCTCGGAAGACCCTAAACCCTAAAGCCTAAACCCTAAACCCTAAACCCTAAACCCTAGACCATCTGGTCAACGTGTGCTGTCGCCACAGGCCCCTGTAGCCCTCAACCGGGAGGACCACCACAGCGGCTGTGCCCCACGTGCATCAGGCGGCTCCACAGCCTGGGAGGGAATGAAACATTAAGAGTATTCATGCCGTTAAGAGGTCTGATTCAATTCACTGTAAGAGCGGGGGGTTGCAGGGGGGGCCCCCCCCCTTTGCAAACAAAGCTCGCATGATGAGGGCAGGCATTGCACTCATTTGGAAACGCAATGCTCGCATGAGGAGGTTCAGACAGGATTCGTATGCTGTTAAAGCAGTCTTGGCACGGCCTAAAGCTATGTCCGTAAAAGAGCGGGGGAGTTGCGGGGCGGGCGGGCAGGGAGTTGCAGAGGGGCAAAATCGGTGGTTTTGGGTCACGGAGGCCAAACCTGCGCCGTGAGCAGCATCTTTGGCGGAGCACGAACAACATTTTCTGAGCAGTTTCCCCCCCCCCCCCTTTGAGACCTCAACCCAACCCAGAAACCAACCGTACCAAGGAAAAGCATATGAGAACCTCCAAACCATGTATTGAATTTGCAATTCAGCGCGAGAGACGGCTGCGCGCCTACTACATCCAACATCCCAACACATGGCGCCTGCGCAGTCCAACCGATGATATAGAGCACTCAAGCCCAAGGAACGCAGGCAAACCTCTCTACCTCTCCCGTAAAATCTTACTAATCTGATTGACATTATTGATATCCCTAGGTAATCCGCCGAGCCTGGGGCCGGACCCCTTTTTTTGCCAAAAATGGGTACCCCATCTAGGAGAGCAGGGGCCGCCAGCGGATGGTTCGCCAGGACCAGAGGCAGTTGCAGCCCCCAGCAGGGGCCCCCCCTTTTTCCCCGCCCTCCCTCTGCCCCCCCTTCCCCCCCCCTCCCCCCCGCCCGCCCCCCTCCCCCTCCCCCCCCCTCTCCCCCTCCTCTCCACCCTCCCTCCCCTTTCCAAAACCACTACAGAACATTAGTGAGGCTCAACTGCTGTGAGCCTTGAACCGAAACCCTAAACCTTAACCGAAGCACTCAACCCTCAAACCTTCAACAAACCCCCCCTCCCACCCTCCCCCTGCCCCCCCTTCCCCCCACCCCCCCTACCCCTGATGGGCTGGCTCCACCCTACGATTCTTGAACCCCACACCCAAAAAACCCTAAACCCCAAAGCGTGAACCTTGAGCCCTAAGCCCTCAATCCTAAACTAACCCTCAACCCTAAACCCCAAACCATAAACCATAAACCCGGAACCCTAAACCCTAAACCCTAAACCCAACCCTTATTGCTTGGGGCCCAGCAACTTGGGCGCTGCGGAATCACCATGCTCACGCGGATGCGCTGGGCCGGGCCGAGGCGGGTCGCGTAGCGTTAAAATTAGAATGTGACTAATGTGTTTCGTATAATTGACACAATTAGTGTAATTACTAGTATACAATGAAAACGAAAGCTCTTCCCTAATCAAGCCACCAAAAGCTTCTCACTGGACCCAGACGCCTGAAGTAACTTGGTAGACTTCGGTGGGATCAGAAAAGCG